ATTTAAAAAAAAAAAAAAAAAAAAAAAAATGGCCAGAAGACATGAATAAAAAAGGTGCTACTTCTGAAGCAACACCAAAGAAAGATATAATTATTGGGTCAGTGAAGGGTATAGACATCATTATATGCTTTAAAAAAAAAAAAAGGAAAGAAAACCTTGTTAAAAGGAACCAGTGACACTCTGACTACATCTTCAAAGGCATGCCAGAAATAGTCCCATTCTGGTACAAGAGCTGGTAGAACCTGGAAGGACAGGAAGGATGTGGTCCAGACATTGATGCTGATTGCTTTTAAGAGATTCATCTCCATTAGAGCTCGGGCCTAGAGCCTGGTGTGTGCCTTTAACTTTTCTGTAACCCAAATCCAAATGGCTAATCAAAACAGAAACCATATGTAGAAAAAAAAAAAAAATCTGTGGGCTGCCCCAAGTACTGTCAGCAGATCCCAGGGATTTTGTCATTTCTTTGGAAAACACCCTGCGTATTATTATAATTTAGACATCATCTTCGCCACCACCATCTCGTTAGGTAACAATCTCGCACAGCAGAAAGGGCAGGTATTATCCCCATTTTATAGCAAGTGATGGAATATGACTGCAAAGCCGGGGCTTCTCCCAGTCTGAAGGTCATCCCAGGAGGCCACACCACGTTCACCTGAACAGACTTTGGAAGAGAGGCGTATTTCCAGCAACCTTTTAAATGGGTGGATAGAGCATCTTCCAATCTTGGCCCCAGGAAGCAGCGGAGCAACGGAACCATCAAAGCAAGTATGGAGCACGAGCATCTATCTCAGATGCTGGGCCATTAACAAAATGGTTCAGTTACGAGGGATGAGGTCGGGAGCAAACACCTACCCGAGTTTACACATTAATTGCATTTAATAGTCTCAAGAATTTAATAAATGAGCAAACAGTCTCGAGGGTTGAGTGACTTTATAGGCAAAGGGACCTTATTGAAATTTTCCCAGAAAATATGATTTCATCATCCCCTCATTTCGACAATAGTAATATAGCCAGGTGGTGACAGTCACAGTACCTGGACTTTAGAAGCTAGCAGTCAATCTTTCTGGAAGGTCTTTGATCTCTAATTTGGCATGGAAATGAGCTCTTTACTCTTCAGAGGCTTTAAGTCCCAGTAGGCGTTAGAAGCTTCTAGGTTCAGGCCTGGGCAAGAGGTTCCCTTCTGAGGGACAATCAAACCTCCCTGGCACAGTACCAGGCCCTTCGGGGCTCCTGTCCCTGTGTTTCCCACTGTTAGTGCAGTCAACACGCGCATCTTCCTTACTCGTCTGTAGGAGTCAGATCCTGACCAAGGGCGTGCAAGCCCCAGTGCAAAGAGCAACATTATCCAGTCTACTTCCCAATGTCTAATTCAGAGCAAATGAGAGGTAGGAAAAAACACATCAGTACAAAGTGACAGAACAAGGCAGAACTCGGACTTGGATGAGGCAGGGTTGTGACCTCTGCCTGCAACTATGCCATTACACTGGAAATGTGCCGAAGCATGATCATGAATGAGAAGTGCCCCCAAAGCAGCCCTCGATCACCATGCGAGAAGGCCAAGGCCGAGGGCTGCTGTGCAGAACCTCTGTAGGTTCCCCAGCAGCTGCTGCCATATGCTGAACTCAAGACAGGCAAAGCTACATCAAGGAAGTGCCACTGCACTAGGGACATCATGGGGCTCAGCTCCAAAACCATGGGGTTGTGTCTGTCTGCTGGAAAGCAGGCCAGGGCAGGAGCTGGGGAGGCTTCACACTGACCCCCAGCCATAATGGGCTGCAGGGCCTGACTTGAAGAATCTGGGTACATAGCTGTATGGGTGTCACATTTCTGCTCGTTAGGGCTCAAAGGCTGTGGCATCCTAAGAAACCACAGGAACCCCAACACTGCTTTCTTAGATGACAAATATTGATTTAGGGTCAAGTAAGTTGCTCTGATGGGAGACAGCTTGGTCATCCCCCCCACCCAAGAGCCAGAGTTAGTTCCCAGCCAGTGCAACTCTGACAGAGGCAGGGTGACAAGTGAGACGTGCTCCAGGGTGGGAATTAGAAAATATGAATCCTACTTCCTGGTCTGCTTCTGGCCAGCTGCACTGAACTGGGCAAGTGATTCTCCATCTGGGCTCAGTTCCCTTATCTATAACACGACAGTTACCATTTATCACTGTGGTCCCTCTGATGTCACGTTTTCAGTTTTATGGATTCTATGAAATTCACTAAAGAGGCCCTTATGGTGGAAATGTAAATGTAAATGGCATTGCCTAGCGTTCAGAAAAACTTCCTAAAGAAAGTAACAGAAAGAAAGAAACGAAAGCAGGAGAGCCACTTGAACTTGAAACTCTCTTTGGTCATGAGAATAGCAAAGCAATGAGTTCAGAGACTTTGAGAGGAATAGAAAAGTACAAACTGCAAAACAGGAAATCCATGCTTGGCTGGCTGTCAAAAAGCCATGAGCTGGTGAAAATTCAGATTCATTTTAATTTCTGATTTCCTAATACCAATAAAAAGTCCCCAAATTAGTGAATTGTTGAGATGCTTGTTGTTAAAACATGGAATTACTGTCTCGGTCCCAGGCTTTTTAATCACTCTTGAGTTCTTCAGAAAAGAAAAGTCTTAGGTCTGAGGGTGTGAATGGCACAAGAAACTGCTGGTCCCACCTTGTCCCTGTGGCTGGTACTGACCTGCTCACTAAAACCACGTTTTTGTGGACAATGGTCAAACACGGCCTTGTACTATAGTCCCACATATACCAACCTTACATCTCCACATCAACTCTTGAACTCACAGGGACCCCAATTTCCACATCTTTGATTCCTCCAGTGCATTGGGTATGGTAGGCACTCAAACGTTTACCGAATGATCGAGAAAAGCACTTACCAGTCTCTTCAGGCACCTCAAACTGGTTGGCCAGGTTTGTATATCCAACCTGAGTTTGAACCTCAAAATCCTTTTTTTTTTTTTTTAAAAAAAGGAATTATCTAGAGATAATTAGCTTAACAAACACCAAAACCAGATTTCCACAGAAAGCAGAAAAATAATTTATTCCAAAAGATGGCAGAAATAAGAAATTCATCCTGAAAATATACTTTGGTGTAATTGTGTCGGGACAGATCTTCCCATGACTTGCTCTCTTGCTGGCTGCTGTACTGGAGTCTAATTGTCGTGTGACGGCTTTTAAACACTTCGCTGATTCCGACGTCATGAGCAGGCAGGCGCCATCTTCACATCCACAGGTTCCAAGGAGAGAGTCCTGAGTTTCTCAGAAGAATCGCACCTTCCAGCTCAGAAGAGTGCATAAACATTTTATGGCATCAGCACAGTTTAGATTAAGGAGGCACAGAATTCAAGAAAGTGTAAAAAAGGTGACAGGAAAAAATATAGCACTGTAGAAAATAAGATATTCAAATGAGGTGTGACTGTTTTAAGGCAGCTGGTGGCCAAAACAGGCGAGTCAAGGAAGGTCGTCTGGGTTTGGAGGTGATTTCGCCTCTAGAGGAATTCTCTTTGTCACCTGCAAAACAAAGCCGTTCTAGTAACTGGTCCTCATACCATCTTTGGGGCGGGTGGGGGTGTGTGTGCAAAAGTTTAACATCAAGAAAATCATCAAGCAAAATATATAGGAGCTCAAACAACACCTGAATGAAAAGTGGGCTCAATTAATGTGCAAGCGTGGGCAGGTTCTGCAGGGCTGTGACAAGAGGTCCCGTTACCAAGAACACAGACAGCTAAACTGAGGATCACAAGTAGATGTGACTGTGTCATAGAAAGCAGCAGGCAGAGAGAAGCTGCCTAAGACTGATCATACTGGAATCTAATGAGTCTGCTTCTGTTTCAAGGCCATATCTGCCCCTCCTCTCTTACAGCAAGGGAGCGAGGCTTCCCCGGGCATGGCAAGCTTTTGTCTATGTCAGACTCCTAGAGAGCAGGCTCCTTGGTACTTAAAGTTGCTCTTTGTCTGCTCCCCGTTCGGACAAATGTGACAAACGTGAGTTTCTTTTTCTAGACGCTTCAAGCTGCAACATCACCTTTGCAGAGCTAGCAAACATTTAAAACTAGGATCTTCACACATCGAACTGCTAACAGTAGTCGCATAAACTCCTTTATGTGAAGCTGGCTTTATGACATCTAGATAAATAAAGCCACATATGCCACTTTTGAAATGAAAAAAATAAAAAATAAAGAGAAATGTTTTTCGAAGACAATTTCCATACAAGGCTTGAGTTGGCGGATAAGAGAACAAGCTGGTTATGACGCACCATTTGTCAGAACCTTGAGGGTTAAATGCAGGAGGGATGACAGCTAGTTAAATTCGGATGACACGTGGTTTGTGGCAGGCAGAACACCCCAAAGTATATTCGCCTCAAGACATCAACAGAGGGCTGTTCTGACATCGGGTCGGGGAAGGGCAGTCTGAGCGCTACTGGTTTCTCGCGGCCCCAGCTTCGTAGAACCTTCCCTCTAATCTAATGATCATTTTTCTCTTCTGCTGCTTTGGCCGGCAGACCAGCTGCTCTGCAGACACCCACGTGCCAGGCAGATTATAAATTTTACTTGAGAACACCGAAGTAGTGAATACAGATGTTCTGTGGGTTAATTTTCCACGAAGAGCATAGTGGTTAAGACTTCCTTTATGGTTTAGGCCTTTCTGGACAATCACAAAATGGAAAAATAGGTCTTCATTTTGGAAAAGCGACATAAGAACCGGGGATAATTTTCACTCAAGCTCAACGATACCCAGTTTAAGATAAATGTGAGCGAGGGTTATGTGAAGTGGCACGAACTCAGAGTTTGATTTTGGAGCGAATTAAAGCAGCCTATGTTCTAATGACCTCTCTGATATGAACGAGCCATTTGGAGGTGGGGGTGGAGAACTCAACCGAAGGGTCCATGTTCTCCTTTGGAAAATAAAGGAATCACGATAAAACTGAGAATGAAGACAGCGGGTAAACAGGAAGGGCACGACCAGGAAATCCATTCTGGGCAAGATGAGTGAAACTATTTTTTTATTTCAGGATAGGTGTTATTTTTATCTCTATTTTTTTTCACTTCAGATAAATTCGCAAAATAATTCCCTGTTTATTGACATGTGCGAGATCTGTATTTACTGTATAAGATTAGCTACAAGAGGTATTTAAGCGAACAAAGGGTCTGTGTACTTAGCGAGTCAAGGCAAAGTGCCAAACGCATGGCAGAAACTGGGGAGCTTAAGACACATTCAGGGAGAGGAGTCACTTTGAAACCAAGCATCCGGGAAAGGAAGTGCAAAGACTTGCAAGCTGGACACTAAGAGAGAAGGCATCAGAGAGAAGTAAGAGAGAGTGGGGAGGCGAAGGCAAGAAAGCAGAAAGAATGGTTGTGTTTACTAATCTGCTTTCTAAATTAATGATCGTTGTAGGGTAGGAAGTGAGAGGCAGGAAAAGCCAACTAAAGCTAATGAGGTGAACGATATGAGAACAGGTAGGGCTACAACCAATAGGGGGAAAGCTAGACACAACCTGCGGGTTAGTCATTCATATCTTTTGTAGCTCATGGGACCTTTGGTGACCCTGATGAAAAGCCGTACTTACGACATGTCACACAGCATTTCAAGGGGGCATGTACCCACTGAACTCAGGGACCTCGGATTCAAAAAAAAAAAAGCCCCTGCTGTAGCCCATGGAGAAGGACGGAGAACTTCCGGAGCCAGGAGCCATCTGTTTCATTAGTGCCACAGCAGGAAGTACAACAGCGTGGAGTTTTGGGGATATGCAGGGAGACCCGAGGAGCAGCTCCCGCAGTAACTCAGAGCTGCAGCGATCGGTGTCAGAAAGTAAGGTGCCCAAAGAAGGGAAAGGAAGGACAGACGGACACAGACAGTAACAGGATCAACTGGATTTGAAGAAGAGGTGACAGTCATGATCGACAGTAAAAGATACGCTTTTCTACTATAAAACACCTTCCGCTGTTTTAACTTGTCACAAGGATGGCTTTCATTTCAAACTCAACAGGTCACAAACCCCTAGGAGCCCGAGCCTTCCTTGAAATCACCACTCAGCATGATTGTTTCTCATGTATCTCATGAGCATTCAAATATTTTTGGTATGCACAGAAAAACAGCTGTATCCCTCTCCTGTCCAGACTTTGGAATGAAATAGAATTTCTACCCTTTAGGTCTGTGATAAACCATGTAAGCTCATCTAACATATCACAATGGGTGGTAAACCAACTAACTTACTCACTCAACTACCATCGATATATGAAAGAAAATCATGGCTAGTAAAATGACTAAGGTAACAAAAGATCAGCTAGGCGTTTAACTGTTGCTCAGATCAAGTCGATTTCATCTGTATAAAATTATTCTAAAGCTTTCATGAGTGTTCCTCATGTTTTTCTTGCCGAATACCATGTCTAGTTTACATTGCCTACTTTCCAAATCTGGCCTCTTAAACAAATCATGTACAAAACAGAATGCTTTTTTACTCAATGAAGGTGGGCCTAAATCTGGGATCTGAGCTCCTTTATCATCCCACTGTTATATAAAAGCTCAAAGTTCAAAAGGGAATTTAGCTCAATCTTTTGACTTTACCACCAAAAAAGTAAAGTCCTGTCTTGAGAGTTCTGTTAGCTGCAATGCTAGGCAGAGATTAGATCTCTTGATGTGGTAACTCAAAAGGCCTTGAGTTATGGTACCACCATCATCACTACCTCGCACGTGGCATAAACGTGACATGTTCATAATTCAGGTTTGCCTGCCCGTGTCCTCCTACTTCCTGGCATTCTGCTTTTAAAGAAACAACCTTTAATACAACGGTTTCAAGCTGCAGCCCCAGCTGGTGCTGTGGACCAGAGTGCAAACATCAGGAGTTAGTCAATCAGGTTAGCACACGCACAAGACTAAAAAGAACGGGCTAATGAAACCTCAGATCCACACACTGAGTGTTATTACAGCCAAAGATGCCCAGATCTCTCGTTATAAGGGAAAGAAGTGAGGCTCAGAAAAGTTAAGTGCAAGGCAACGCTGGAATGAGATCCCACTACGAGACCTGCAGTTCTTGGCTTTAAAGCCCAATCAACATCCTTACTTAACATCCTCTAAAGTTAAAAGAACAGAAGGAAAACAGGAGAACTTGAAAAAAAAAAAAGGCAAGTAAAAAGATCTTATGAATCGGATTTTTAAAAGGTCTATCTAAGAAGGAAATCAAAACCCCTTTGGGCAAAGATAGAACTGTAAAGGAAAAAAATCTATTTACCTATCAGATTGGCAAAAATCCAAGAAAAGGGCACTCCCATAAATTGTTGGTGGGAATGCAAAATGGTACAATCCCCTTAGAAAGGAATGTAACAGTATCTAGAAAAAGTACATATTCTTTTAACCCAGAGATTTCATTAAAATTTAGAGACTCTAACCCAAAGATCACCAAAATATAAACTGTCATACGCACAGGATGGCCTTTTGGCTTTATTAATAATGGCCAACGTCTGGAAACAATCCAGAAGGGCATCGATGGTTGTAAAGGTATCAGGGATGATCTCTACACACCGATGGGAGCAAGCTCTAGGCTACAGGGCAAAAAGCAAGCTATAGAATGGTATATCTGTCTTTTCCATAACGGCTGTGTGTGCTGGGATGGAGATACACACACGCACGTGCAAATGCACAGATTTGCTTATTTTTGAAAAATGAAACATTGGAAGCACACACACACACACACACACACACGTGCAAATGCACAGATTTGCTTATTTTTGCAAAATGAAACATTGGAAAAACAGAATTCTCTGAATACAACCTGTTTATAATTTTGACTTTGGAAATATGTTTTACACATTCAAAAACTAGTAGCAAATAATTAACTATGAATTGAACACACACAGACACACAAAAAACCCCTTAATCTAACTACATATCAAATTGATAACCACCAGAAAAAGTAATTATTTCAAGTGATCTCAGAAAACGGCATTCTGTTCTTTGTTTTAAGGACAACTAAAGTAGGAAAGATATCCTAAACTGTACTTAATAAACTTATAGTTAATAGTTATATTTTGAAACTATTTTATATGTATCATAGGATAATAAAAGTAAATAATTAAGTTACTGTCTTTAGGAGCCAAGATTTCAGCATGTGCGAATAATATTCAAAAGAAGTTTAGTAAAAACCCTATAATGTAAATTTGAATTAGAAACACTAACATGAACTCAGAAGCCTTTTTCTTCTTAAAAGTACACACTTCCTGGCTTTGTCCAATGTAAAGTCTTAAAAGCAATGACATCCCAGCAGTGACGGATGCTCCTAGCAATTAGATCTTGGTTTTTAAATACCATTCCCACTGAAGAGAACCAGGGCCAGCTGGGCTCCAGGACTGACTAAAGAACCAGGATCCTTTCAGGGGGAAATTTAGAAAGCAGTTGGAGGAACAGCTGATTCCACATCTGGGACACGAAACATACAAGACGGGTCTGGGACATCTTGATGTCGGAAAGTAAGGAAACTATAGACGACTAATGACAAAAGGACATAGAGGCCAGTCTAGATAGGCTCCCATAGTCCAAAGAAAGAATGACTGAACATAAACAGTGATAGTAAATATAATTGATTAAAATTAAAAAGGGAAGAAAAGAAAACCCCACTGAATACCCTGGGCACCAACGGCTTACTTTGAAAATTAAAGAAAAAAAATTAAATGTGTATTCTGCTTTTCCTGTATGATCCATATTTCAAGGTTACTAAACAACTCTAATTGATGAGACAAAGTTCATCTTTATAGAAACAGTTCAGTCACGACAGAACGCGAAATCACCATTTTGCAATTTCTACTGAAATGCTTAATTCAGGCTAAGACCATCAATGGATAAAATCATTGGATGAAAGGGTCACAGAGAACTTTACCACTGCAGGGACCAGGCTGTTGTTACTTGAACCCACTGATCGTCTTGGCAGCACTAAAAAGATAGGAGAGCCCAACACGGTGTGTCTCCTGACAGAGGTAAAACGAAGTTCACAGTACCCCGGAGCACGGACCCTCGCCCCAAAGCTACACCAGAACCTCGCGAAGCATTTAGTGCTAACTTCCATTTATCGAAATAATGGAGACAAAGAAACCAACTAAGAGTTTCTGACTCTCAGCTAGTGAGTAAGCCTTTCCTCTACAACACTCCTCACCCCTCTGATCCTCAGAACTAAATAAAAGCTGCAATTTTAAGACCAATTTTCAAAAAGCACCTGTCTCTATCAAAGCATTCAGAAACATTCTTAATTTCAAATCTGCAGGCCGCTTCTTGAAGCTGCCTAATCTTGCAATACCAACTGTCAGTGGTCAGTGCCCTGAGCCGTGTCTAAAAGACTGCATGCAAACTGGATCGTGTATATCAGACCGTATTTTAAATGGCAGGGTCATAGTAAGATTTAAAAGACTCTTATGGATAAATCCTTTGGGAAAGTGAATAGGCTAAGTTCCAAATTTATTTCTGTGCTTCAGATCATGTTTGCTCTCAGCAGCCTGCCCTTGCCAAGTGTTCAAATGGCCATAAAGTTCTGAGAAACAGTCAAGGCGAACTCTGGCTGACTGGCTGACAACACGGATGTCAAAGGTCAAGGGTAGAGTCACCTCAATGACTGAGCACTGGAGAGCGGTCTTCTTCCTCAAGGCCAGTGATACTTGAGATACCAGATGGTTTCATTTTTCAGCTGTGGTCCAAACAGAGGGTTGAGTTGGGCCAGAATCGCAATCAGCCAACTGAAAGGAAAATGGGGAAGGAATGACAACAGAAAGTGGTGAAATCATGTGAGAACAGGACCGTTTTCAATCACGATGAAAAAAGGTTGCCTTAGCAAAATTTAGTCTATTCTGTTCTGACCAAACCTTTCGTATAAGTTCATAACACGTGTGCTAACGGAAGCCTGTTAACGAAATGTTTCACACAACACGCCCTCCCTTCATTTCCATGCATATTCTATATAACAGAGCAGTGATATCTTTTCCTCAGAGTGTTTTTCCCTAATCTCGATTTATCGCCACTGCAACTTCCAGGCTCAGGAAAAACGAGTGTCACTTTATCCATTCTCCCAGTGCTGAGACCCACGACCGACACGACACACCCGTTTTCAGTGGTACGGCCAAGGTTAAATTTCAGCCCATCACCTCCCAATTAGACTCTAACACACGAGTGCCCACCCCTCCTCTAATCACCATCACCACTAAAATATGTAACGACGTCTTTTAGGCCCCAGTGGAGCTGAACCAAATGGGTATTTAACACTCTCTGCTTCCTTCAGAATCTAATTAACAAGGTAGTCCTCTGTATCGTGGACTAATTACGGAGGAAGTACAATGGCGTTACATATTAATTACCTCAGGGTTAGACATGAGAAACAGCACGTGGTCAAAAATAGCTTGAACGTTTTCTTATACTGCTCACGAAGTTCTGAATAAATGGTTTTACATCTGATAGAGTAATTCATATACCCAAGGAAGTTTCAGAACCACTGAGCTAGGACGGAAGCCAGGAACAAAAAGACGGTATGTAAATGCCTGGCCATTCCATGCTTCGCTTATTAAACAAATATTTAATGAGCACCTACCAGGTTCTTGGCCCCAGGGATATAAAGGAGAAAATAAAATGCATAAAGCTCACCTAATAAAATGTCAGGAAAGAAAGCGGGGTGAAGGAGTAGGGAATGAAGGAAGGAAGGGGTCCTACTTCGACTGGGGCGGTGGGGGGGGAGGGCAGGGAAGGCCTCTCCAGGGAGGTGACGCTCAAGTGGGGACCAGAATAAAGCAGAACACACACTGACTTTAATTCCTATTCAAAAATCGATGAAGTGTTCAGAGTTTCTGTCTTTTGAGGTGAGGGGGTATGGCAAAGTGGGAGAGAAGATTCTAGCAACATAATCCGAAGCTGCTGTCTTCCCTGCATGGGATTCAGGGAGGATTGCTTTCTAAGGAAAAGGAGACACATCGCTACAGGTGTCTCCTTCCAAAGGTTTAGGACTTTAAATTCCTTCGTAACAGGGGAACTGGCCAAACCCAAAGAGGCCATTATCTGGTCGCATCTCTTTTCTTCCATTAGCCGTCATTTTTAAAACTCTGCCAATCGAAGGATCAAAAAGCCGATTCCTGATCACCAACAACCAGACTGCTGGAGAATCTGCCAGCACGGCACCAGAAGCTTCCACCCACAGAAACAGCGCACCCACCTCCTCCCCACCCACAAAAGTGGTTTTGTGACAGGAAACATGACACCTGAGGAAGTCGGGCCAAAACAGATACCTTGAGCTGACTCACTTTATAAACAAAAAGTCGATTCAGATGAGATTCTCTGATCTGTCTTAGAACCGGAGTATTAAACACAAACAAAACACCGGGGTGTGCAGCTGAGGTTGACCATTGGCTGACAGGCACTGTAAGAGGGACAGCATGGGCGGACACACTGGAAAGCGCTGTGCCTGCAGTGAACGCTAATGGTGCAGAGCTAAGAGCCATGGAAAATTCCACACAGACCCGGGACTTCCCCAATACAGCCGGCAATAGAAGCTGACTGTCAAAACAGTCGTCCACCCTTTCGTAAGGGACAGAAATAACTGGCCAATGCTTACGAATCTAAAGAAAACATACGTTAGAACCTAACTAGTCGCACTCCCTTGTTCTTTACCCAAAATGTACAGTACTGAATAAAACCAGCACCTCCTAGAACCTTCGATGTTATGCAGCAGTGGCTCTCAATCCTGGCTGCTCGTTACCATCACCCACGGAGCTTTTAAAAAATACCGATGCTCTATTTCACACATAACTTTTCTTTCCATTCTCCCAGAATTCAGTCAAGGACACTGAGGCAGACAAGCTAAATGATTTGCCTATGGTCACAACACTAATCAGGTGGCAGCAGCTCTTGAACAGAAATCCGATCAGGCCAATGTCCTCATCACTAAAGTTATACCTTCTGAAATATCTGAAGTGACAACATTTCAGGAGGTATCAATTTTAGCTAAATCTAAACTGCCAGGGAGTTAAGGAAATAGAGAATCTGGCTGCTGATCATCGATGAAGCCCATCACAAACCTGAAGTAAAGAAGAAATATCCAGAAACGAGAACGCGTCCACTCTGGTTGCTCAGATTAATATTCAGAAACTGTTTTTAGTTTAATTTTACATACTATTTTTAATGTTTTGATTCAAGCAAAACATATCCACTACAACAGAACAAAACAAAAAACTCCGACAAACCACAGTTCAAGAAAATTCCTAGGGAAAAGGTCCAGGCCAGTTCATTTGAAATTTCGTGGAGGAATTCTTCCCCTCTAACCAGCTGAGCTCTGTGCCTGCCCTTCTGACTCCTGCCTGGCTTAAATTTCCTTTTTAAAGTGGAGAAACACACTGAAAAAGAAGGGGAAAAAAAAATACTGTTTGATTTGATGGAAGAGGGTGGAGGAAGAGATCATATTCCAATGAATCTATTACTTCATGTGTCTAAGGAGAGAGAACAAAATGTCCCCTTCACATTTGCTCAAGCTGTTCCACATGTCTCCGTAACCTGAATTCCAGCCTCATAACCAATCGTCCGAGATTCTCCAGACGACGGGGCAGCTGTGGGGCAGTGACATCTTTCTGCACAACTGGAATGGACCACAGGTCAAGTCCATGTTCCTCAATCGAGGGCGGAGGAAACTAAGCCCTAGGGAGCTCATTGCCCCAGAGTGACCTGGTGACAGGGCTGGACGGGGAGCAGGGCTCCTGACTGCCACCCTACCAGGCTGAAACAAATCCAGCAGTCCAGGAGCTTGGGCTTATCCCACAATCACTGACCAGTGCCCTGGTCCACGTCAGGCCCTGAGGGTGCCAAGAGGCAGCGGCGGAGTGGCCAGCCCCGACGGGGCTCCCGAGCTGGTGAGAGACAAGCCAGGACAGCAGTAGGCTGTGGTCTGGGAGAGAGCCACAGGGGAGGTGTCTACGAACACTCCCTGGCCATTCGTCGCTGAGCTCAGCTCCTGGTTATTAGCCTTCTCCGAGCATAAGTACACCCTCCCCCGCACAAAGGCCCTCCCAGCTCTCTCAAATCCCGCTTTGTTCTTTTGTTCCACATTCAGATATGAGAAGAAGGAACAGAGGCAGGGTGACCGGTGACGCATAGATCAAGGGGACAACTGCCCAGCTTCCCTGTTGGAACCGGGAAGCTTGGCGGGGTCTACTCTTCTGATCCGATGTCCCTCTAGCATGGGCTTTGACAAAAGTGACCTCTATCGGGGGGCTCCTTAAGAGACGGCAGAGATGCAGGAGAGTGACTTGACCTACCCTCCACGGAGATGACCTCTGCCATGCCCCCTCATCCCAATCCAGTGACACAAATTCTTTCGTGGGCAGGGGAGTTATTAGACACTATTAGAAAACATGAGATTCAGTATTAGGCAGGGCTAGATTTTCATTCCAGTGATGCCAAATATTAGTGGAGTGTCTCCAGGCAAATGACCTTACAACCCCGAGTCTCAGTTTCTCTTTTATAAAATGAAGATAACGAGCCCTGCCTCAAGACGTTAATAGACACTGCGTAAAAGTGCTCTGTGGAGTTGGTGACAAACAGATGTTTAATAAATACGAGTTATCCCTTCTCTTTCTCGTGCGACAGCTAAAATGTATTCAAGTCACAGGATGAAATACAACCTGTGAACTTTACAAAGGAGTTTCGCATGTGGCACTGAGTCATCCTCGTCGCCACCTCCTCTCCTGCCTCCACCCCTCCGTGGTAGGGAGAATTCTAGCATGTTCCCCCAAGATTCCCACCCCCTGGCATACGCACCATGTCTAAACCTGGGACGGTGCTCATGATGGGACAGTCACTCCTGTGCTTAGATTCTAAGACACAGCTGGCTTTGAGAAAGGAAAATTATCCTGAGTGGACGTGACCTAATCAGGTGAGCTCCTAAAAGGGACAGGGATGTCCCTGATAAGAGGCATCTGGAGTGTGTGTATCACTTATAAGTTTATTGCCAATTGGCTTGGAACGTACCCTTTAATATGTGCTTCGTGATCAACAACTGAATTCATTTTTTTTCTCCTTTAAAGTGAGCACGATGTTAAGCTTTCTCAGTAGAGGGAACAGGAGAAACAAAGCAGGCGGGGGCTGGAAGTTGGCAGAGTGGCCTTGAGGACACGCGGCAGAGCTGAACATGGCTGCTCTTTGATCTGGTGGCCTTGGCCTGGAAATGACCTTCCTGCAGCCCTCTCAACATGGAAACCAGAGCCCCGGCACGGCCTACGTGCTGTGAAGGCCTCCTGCTCTCACTGGCTCAAGGACTCCACTCCACACCCCTGCCGCGGGTCACCGGCCCTCCTGCCCATGCTTCAGAGGGGGGCCTGTTGCTTGCCCAGCATCTCCAGACCAGCTTCGGCCTGGCCAAACCAACGAACTTCTCTGCTATGGGGTGGGCAGAACTATACTGTCTGAATCCTTCCTTGGGTCTCCCTCAGCCTCAGAGTACCATATAGCGGCGGTCCCCAACCTTTTTGGCACAAGGGACCGTGTTCCTATGAGAATCTAACGCCTGTCGATCTGAGGTGGAGCTGAGGCGGTGATGCTGGCACTGGGGAGCGGCTGCAAATACAGATGAAGCTTCGCTCACTCGCCTACTCACCTCCTGTTGTGCGGCCCAGTTTCTAACAAGCCACAGACCGGACTGGTACTGGTCCACAGCCTGGGGGATTTGAGGATCCCTGCCACACAGAATTTCCTTGTATTTGTTATA